TCTATCTATCTATCTATCTATCTATCTATCTATCTATCTATCTATCTATCTATCTATCTATCTATCTATCTATCATGAAATGTTTATCAGCCATATCAAGGGGTGCCTTGTGGTTACCATATTATACATAGAAAAATGTACTCTTCTCTTTAAAATCGAAAGCCTTAAATGTCCCTAAATGTCCAGAAATACCTCCATGTCTTTCCTATTTAAATGAAAATTCCTACTGACTTACATTTTTGTTTCACTCCTATACCGACTCTCTGCCCTACCAGGCAAGACAGAATATATACACTCAAAAAAATAAATAAATAAATAAACACTTTTGCTCCCATTTTTTTTATAAGATGAACTCAAATATCTAAAACCTTTTCCACATACACAATTCTCACCATTTCCCTCAATTATTGCTCTCAAACCAGTCACTAATGGTGCACAGGTGTGCCTTAGTCTGCCCATAATAAAAGGCCACTCTGGAAGGTGCAATCTTGTTTTATTGTGAGGGGGTGCTATGGATAGAGTTTAATTTAATTGGATAAGAGAAGCCTAGGCTGCAACCTGCTTAATTTGTGAAAACAGCATTTAATTTAGCGCAGTACATGTCAGAAGTGGCAAAAATTATAGCTTTGGAATCCCAAACTTGTGATTACACCCCACCCTGTTAAAAACTGCATTGTAGTATTGGTATACCTTGAGCTTTTTCACATGTTGCCATCATAGAATCATTAGCTGTAGTGATTTTATTTCAATTTTTATATGGAAGATAAACAAAAAGTATTGTGTGAATATTTGCACTTATGAGATGGACATCTGAAGATAATGTTTTATAAACATTAATTTGAAGGTTTACTGAAGACAGTGGCAGGTAGCATGCAGATCTTTGCATTGCAAGTAGAAGAAAGCAATTTTTCGTGCAAATGTTGTAGTACAGTCCTTTAACAATTGACCCAAATGGAGGAAAAGGAAATTTGAAATAAAATTGCAATCGCAATATTGTTAAATATAATTGCACTTTTGAGTTTTTGGCAATAGCATTTGACCCTAGTGCGGGGAATACACATTCCAATCCTTTGAATATAATTTTATAACTTAACACTGCTTTAAACTCCTCAACACCTTTTTTCCCTGACCTGTTCTCTTTGTTCATTGGTCTTCATAATGCTGTTTGTTCACCAGTGTTTCCTCAACAAACCTTAGAGATAATTACAAAACAGCTGGATTTACCCAGAGATTAAATGGCACACAGATGGTCTATCTTCATTAATTGGGGCTCTGGAGACATCTTGGTTTTACTTGCTTTTAATTTGGGTCTTTAGGGTAAGTGTGAGGGAATAGAAAGGGTTGCCAAACCTAAGAATTATAAAATGTGTAGAGGGAAATAAGTAAATAAAAATAAAATAATAAAAGAAAATATCTTAGTGGTCTCAAATCTCAATACAATACACAAAGGTTTGTAGGTGTGACAAATTGTGAAAAAAAGTTCTCAGGTTATTAACACTAACAAAAGCATAAAAGGTATGTTGTTCAGAAACACAAATATATATATATTTTTAATAAAAAAGGTAGATGAAGTTTGACACCAACATTCCTGGCTGCATGATGGAGGTGACCAGGGATTAGAACAAAGTGCACTAGATGGCGCTAAAAGCTCAGGAACTCTGTAACAGTCGGTTTTCCCAAATAATGACATTACGTTTGTTTTCCAAGGATGTGAGCAGGACTCTAGTCACTCTTCAACAATTTCCTGATATAAATCTGCTGAATTTATACTGAAACCTCTGTAGATAGAAAAACAACATTTAAACAGAAGCCTGGAAAGACTGAAGATCCACATGTTTTCTCTAGAGACACAATTGTTGACAGATCTGAAATGGTAGCATGTCTCATTATTGCAAGCTTTGTTATTTCAGAAATGCATTTTAAATGTTTCTTTACCAAAATTGGACACATGCCTTACTTGACAGCTGAAAAGTTCCAAGAGAGCTCAACTACATCATGCAAAGCAGGCAGTGCAAAAACTGAGGGCATGTGAAGAATCAAAGCACCTAAAACAAAGGTTCTTATTATTTTCCCATTGGAAAAACGGGTAAATGCAAGGTCGTATAAGCCTTTATATACCAATGCTAATATACATTGTTATACAAATACTTATTTTGCATCTCTTTACCCCCTTATGTTGTGTAATACCATAGCCGGTAAGCAGTGATGAGAGTTCTTTTGACGTGTGCAGAGAAGGAACGTCTGGCTGAACTCATTCAAGAGATAAAAGAAGAGGAAAAGGACAGCGCCAGTGACACAAACAGTGAGGTAGGCTAACATTTGGCCATAAATGATAACATATGCTGTAGTTGGACTTTTTATTAAACCATCTTCTAGTTCCAATCTTCAGAGGAAGAACCTAAAGCAAATTCACTGCTACTAACATTTACAACTTTATTTTACTGCAGCGTTAGTCTTGAATTTGTATTCTCTGGGCTGTATGAATTACATTTCTATTCTAAATTAATTTACGATTAAAACATCCTATAATACACTGCAGACGAAGACTAAAGTTTTTTTTTTTGTTTTTTTTTTGCAGGCTCAAACAATAGGAAAGCCAACAGAAAATACAGTAGTAGCCACTCAAAATTTCCCCACTTTCCTTGATGGGCCCTCGGCTGGTCCCCTACAATACCCTTTTAAACACCAATCTTTTACATAAATATTCTTTCTGTCATGACTTGTGGACATTAAGATCTAAAGAGAAATGCCTTCTCCTGGTCAGACCCTGTAATTCAGTGAAACATGCACACCCAGGAGAAGGAGGGGGTCACTCCAGTGGCTGGAAGTTGGAGGGGATTTTGCTGGGAGTTACAGGGAAGTGGACTTCCATTCGGCTGGTGTTTGACTGGGAAGGGCAACTTTGAATGGCTGCTACTGTAGTCTAGAACTCTGAGATAAAATGGAAGTCATGTATAGTTTTATACTGTTTTTACATAAAATCTAAATAAATGTGGTGTGCAGTTATATTCAACTCCGTTTACATGGATAGATCCAAAGTAAATTATATTGCAAAAACTCTACCTTTTTTATTTTTAATATATTATAAATCAAAGTATTCATTAAAGGTTTGTTTAAAAGCGTTTAATGACAAGTAAATACTGCATCATAGAAGACATACATGGCAGACAGGTCAGGAATAAAAGATGCTGAGAAGTTAAACACAATGTGAAGTTGTACAATAACAAGCTTTAACGATCTCAGAATATGCTGCTCAGTCTATCAGCTAACAAAATATGAGGTATTATAGCTGCAAACTGCAAGACATGGAATCCATTTAAAACTTTGCAGTACTTTATTAAGACATAATATGCCTTTTAAAAATCTATGAAACATGGCTGATTTGTCCGGGAATTTTTTTTTGCCGGTACAAAGCTGGTATTCTTGGTCACTAGAGAGTCATGCCATTCAGCGATATTTTAACGCTGTGCTTTACATGTGATTCGCTTTACAAACTGCTCTGGACACAGATGATGATATCCAGCCTAATTGTTGTAAACAAAGGCTCTGTTAAATACCTTTCCAGCCTAAAATGGACATTTTTATATTTGTTTAATCAAAAAAAAAAAGTAAACAGTAGCATGTAGTGGTTACACTGGAAAATTATTCTATGTCTTACCTTATGATTGCTTTTAGACCTGATAAATGTGTAGCTATTCTTGGTTTATCACAGTTGTGTAATTTGTAAGCAGAAATTCTTCTGAAACCCTTTGTCTTTAAACTGACTTATTCCTTATTCAATGAAGCCGCCATTGTCAGTCAGTGGAACTGCAGAGATCCTCAGCTCAGATTTAACAATCTTTTAAACTATTAGTCATGCACTCCTAAAACCAACCTCTACAATGACTTCTGTGAGAGATATTGAAGAACCATACAATTACAAAGGGAAAATGCCTACTATAGTGGAAAATTATGACTGCATATCACCCTGAGTGCAACATCCACAAAGTTAAACATGGTGATGGCAGCATCATGCTGTGTGTGTGCATGGTCAATAATAATACTAAAGTTAATGAGAAAATGGAGCTAAGTAAAGGGCTAAATATAAGAAGAAACATTGGTTTAATGCTTCAAACAGCTTGAGACAGGTCCACATTCTAGCAGGAAATGATGCCTTAGGATGGCCTGACCCCAAAAACCCTGATAAAATCTTATTGGATATATAGACCTTTGTGAATGTAACATAAAACAAGGCTACAATAGACCAGAGGTCTTTAACCTTTACAATCCAAAGAACCATTTGGTCCCCAGTTTAGCTCCATAAATCACATTTAGAACTGCAAATGTTACATGAGCCTTCAGATCTTCCCCAGGTCCAAATTGCAGACCTCTCCTCTAGGCAGAAGCTTCTGAATCTTCTCAGTAATTCAGATAATTAACCAGATGTCATTTTCCACATTCAGTTCAGTTGAATGCTGGAATCTTATCTCTGGTGTTACACTTACTTCCTCCTTTTTTCTGCAAAATTCAGAAGTATGGCGCTTATAGAGACCTAAACAGCTTATCTTGAATAAAGAAAATGGGGACAGAGTCTATAACATGCTGAAGGAGACTT